CCTCGCGTGCAAAAAAAGAAAAAAATGTCAAGCGAATCTTTTTTTTTTAAAGAAAAAGAAGACGTCACTAACGACAACAAAGCGCGGGGAGTCTTCTTCGCGTCTCTTCCGATTAAAAATAATAAAAATAAATTGAGGCGGAGGGAACGGCGCGCGGCGGCCCGCAACGGAGCGGCGCCACCCTTTACACGTTATTGTCTCCACGCCAGGTGCAGCCCTCACGCACACACGCACGCACACGCACACACACGCACAAGAACACGACCAGCAGCCCCTTACGTCCCGCAACAACAAGTGCACTCACATACACACACACACGCGCTGACGTAGGTCAGTTCCCTGCGCCGTGACCGATATGAGTTGGAACTCGACGGTGAACCGTTTGTGTGTGTGTGTGTGTGTGTGTGTGTGTGTGTGTGTGTGTGTGTGTGCGCGTGCGCGCGTGTGCACGCTTCACTCCCACCCATTAAGCGCCAATTTGAGGCCGACACTACAAGCAGCTCGGCGTGCTCCGCCTCGGCTCCGCCTCCCCCGGGGTGCCCCTGTCCGCCCCGATCAAACGCCGGGCCGCCTTGTTGTTGTTGCACGAGGGAAGGACACCGAGTATTTCGGGCCGCCGACTCCATAAAGGCTTAAACACGCGGCCTGGCCGCGGTGGAGGTGGCCCCCGATTGTTCGGTGGGCGGCGCGGGGCGGGGCGTGGCGGCGTGGCGGGGCGTGGCGGGCCCATAACGTGTGGTAACGCCGCGGCAGCACCGCCGTTTTTGCGCGGTTAGACACTGACAGCTGAAACCCCAGTGACGCTCACACTCACACCCACTCACACACACACACATGCACACCACACAGTAAATTTCGTCAAGGAAGTCAGCTATGCAAATCCAAAGGGACAGTCTGAAAAACGACTTGAAAAATTTTCCATCCCGAGACGTGACAGGGCAAATGACTGACAGCAGTCATTGACAAGTAATTTGTGACCCACCCACTGTAAACTTCATTTTAAAAACAAAAAACTTTCTTTTTCCAAAAAACGAGAGGGGGTTTCAGACACCTGTGGCCTCTCACCGGGCAGAGGCGCGGCCGGTGGCGTCGCTCGAACGGGACCGAATTTGCCGCCTGCTCCTTCAGACTCCCCGAGACTCTCCCCAACCAACCGGTACACTCCCGGCCAAAAGGGCCCTATCTGCGGGAGAGATTTTCGTCGCCAGGTCGATTGGCGGGCCGCCAAAACTGTCCATGTGCCGCCGGTGCGTCGGACTGGGGCGGGGCGGGGCGGGGCGGGGCGGGGCGGGGCGTTCCTTACGCATTCGAGCCATCGCCAACCTGCGGAACCGAGGGACCGGGAGACCCGACCGGCGGGCCAGCCAGCCAGGGGAACGGAGCTACGTAGAGCGCGGCTAGAGCCAGCCCGACTCGAGTTTAGGGGAGAACACACACCAGGAATGCTCGTGCGTGGAAGGTTCCGGCACGGTGAACGAGACCATTTCCACGAGAATGCCGACGCCGTGACTGCCTAGGAGCACCCCGGCACACTGTGGGCCAGAAGACCGGCGGAGGCGGACAAAACTCTAAACGCGTTTTGAGCTCCAGAGTCGCTAAATGGGACTCGATCATAAAGTGTGACCCTACCAATAGATTCCTCGTTCGGAGAGCAATCCATTGGTGGGGTCACACGTTATGATCGAGTCCCATTTAGCGACTGTGGAGCTCAAAGCGCGTCTAGTTTTGGCCGCCTCCACTGTGGGCCGTCGATGCTAGACGCCACTGTACACTACAAGCTGGCACAACCCACCCCGCTCCCCCACCCCTTGCGAAACGCATCCATCCACCCCTCAGCAGCAGCCACCCCTCCTCGCCGCCACCCCTCATCTACAGTGTGGCAGCCGGATCGCGGCGGTTCTCCGGCCGGCACGCGTAGCACTGCTTGGCACAATCAAGAGCATCGCTCCGTCTCTCTCGCACTCACGGGGCGTGCCGTAGGGGAGCGAGCGAGACGGGGCCGCAAGACCGCGGCGACGTCCCTCTCTAGTCCCGAGGGGGCGTATTCACTAGCAACGCGCATCATGACCGGGCCGGGCTTCATTGCACACATATCAGCCAAAACCTGTCCCCAAATAGTACAGTGTCGAAAAAATTAAAATAAACTTCGAACTTTTTTGGCTTCAATTTTTTAATTTTGTATTTACTTTGTACCTAATTCATTAAGCGAGACTACTGCTAAACGCTTTATGAATGTTGAGCGGCGATTTCTAAATAACCCACGGGGACACACTACACAACACACGTCGGCCATCCATCGTCTTCAGCCTCCAAAACAACACAATCGCCGAGCCTTTGCCAAGGGCCGCGGCCAAGTTCAAAGGAGAGGAGCAGAACGCGTCCAGGGAGTCGCACGGCGGCGGTGACACCACCACGATGAATGACTCGACCGCACAGCGATTCGGAAGCACCAACCCTTTCTAATCCAAGGACACACACACACGCGCGCGCACGCGCACGGCGCCGTGGAGGCGCTAGGTGCTCGTCGAACGGCTCTGGGTCGACGCCGAGGGGCGAGCCGCGAGCGGCGGTAGCAGAACGCCGGGGTTCGACTGTCCGACGCGACGGCGGTCGACGCGGTGCTCGCGGTGGCGTCCGCCGAAGACCGAACCGAACCGAGCCGACGGGGCGGGCGGCACGGCACTGGCGGCACCGGCTGGGCTGACTGAGGCAGGCACAACACGACGCCGACGCCGGCGGGAGGGAGGGAGGCCGGCATCAGCTGATCCTGGGGGAGTGGGGGCAGGCGGCGGCGGCGGCGCGGCGCATCCTGGCCGGCCTGGCCGTCCAGGACTCGCAGGACGTCCAGGGTGGGGACGGGGAAGGGGTGATTACCCGGGATCGAGGATCGTGCCCCCCGGGGGCCCAGGGGTGCATGCCTACCGCCCCGACGCGGCGGCGGCGGCCGCACTCTCAAAGACGTGGGCGTGGCTTCATTCCCAATGGTGATGAGTATATTTACAGGCACACGATACACGAAGTCATTTTCAACATATCAACGAAGACCAACAAATAATGGTTTCAAAATGGACAGGTGAAGATTTCATTTGTGAAACTCGAAAGATTTACCGTCTTGAATTCTAGTGAGTACGCGATTGCGGGGCGGTACAGGGGTGAAGCGCTGGCTGCCTCGGCCGCGACCCAGAGAGCCAGTAAACCACGACAAGTGGATGCTCCCGGCAGGCAGGCTCGCAACGGGCCAGTCGCTACTAGACCGCGCCTGTCCGCCCTCTCCCCGTCTCGCAGTGCGTTCGGTTCGCCTCACCGTCCATCCGCCCCGCCAGTCCGCTCGCACAGCTTGCAGTGGAGTGCATACGGAAAACGCAGGGCTAGAAAAAGATAATCACTTTCCCTCTCGCTTGGCCACGTGACCAGAGACAAATCCCGAGGCCAGAAAAACAAGCCACGCCAATAAGACGAGAAGTCTGCGCTGCGGGGCTTTTTAAAAATCACCTCTGTTTCTAGCACTCTTTAGGAGACGCTCCACGAGTGCGAGAGAGACAGGGTGACACTGTCCGGACTGAGCCTGCAGCCTCTGCAGGGCCCTGCTAACGCGGCTAACGCTTCGCCCAGCTGCTTGGACACATGATGGACGTCCTGCAGATGGCACGGCCGACGCGGACGTCGCGGTGCAGGGACGCAGGGACACTGCAAGGGAGAGGAGGGGGAGAGGCTCCCCGCCGACGAGCACGTCGCCGAAGTCACCGCTACAGGGCTATCATGACGAGACACGCGTATTTCGCGAGTGTGCGTGTGTGTGACTGAGTGCACAAGTGCGTGTGTGTGTGGTGCATGTAAGTGTCAGTGCGCGTGTGCCAAAGCACCAGCGGCACCAGCTCGGCGAGGCGGGGGCGGGCCATCCACGCGCGTTTCTTGCATCTCGAGGACGTCGTAAAACTCGCAACCCTCCCTCTCCCTCTCTCCCTCTCGTCGCGCAGCAGCAGGAAGTGCAGCGGTCTTTCGCCGTCGCCAAGTTGGGTTCCCGACGGTGCCCGACGGTGCCGCGACAACGCGCGACGCGTGCGGCTGGCGAAGTGTGCCGTTTCCGGTTTTCACCGTCCGCAAAATTTTTCGATTAATCGATCAATTTGTTGAGAAGCCGGGAAACCCCAAGCGGGTTCGGGTGGATTCCGCAAATTTTCGAGACTAGCGGAAAAGTTGTTCCGGTGGACCCGGTCATTCCCTTCTCTCCTGCAATGCTTTCTCGAGGTTTCAAACTTGAGCGCCGCCGTGTGCGCGCCAGACCAGCCAGACCACCCTGCCACTTTGGACACGGTGGCGGCGCCCGGCGCCAGGAACCAGACGGACACAGCATTATACCTTCCCCTCCACGCCGCGCCGGCAGCCGCGGCCACCATTTTCAGTTTAATTTTCTGTCCCTACCTTCCCTTGGCTTCCCTTCTCTTCAGCCGCCTGCAGCTTCTGCCCGCTTCGGCCGTCGTCCTTGGGTAAACAAATGATGCCCGGTGCGCACCGCCACAGGCAGCGCGTCGGCTATATTTACCCGCCGACCGAGTGAACATGAACGCCGTGGCGCCGTCCGACAAGTCAAAGTCACGCCGCCGGATCCAATCCAAGTTGACCGCCGGGACGGGCGCCCCGTCACAGCGATGCACTCGAGGAGTACGTCGCGTCGCGCAGTTCACAGTGGCGCTGCGCGGGGAAGTTCGCGCTGCGGCGGCCAGCGCACTCTCGCGGCCGCCGCGCGAACCAGCCCACCGCGTCGAATGGGTTGCCCGCCTCGCGGCGCTACAGCGCGCCGCGCGCCGAATGGGCTGCCTACGCTCACTGGGGCTTCGCGAGGGTCTCGGCGGCGCGAGAGAGACAGACGCCCCAGCGCCAGCGCGGCCGACGGACGAGTGTGTGAATGAGAAATTAGCCGAGACCAAATTAGCCGTCTGTCCGTCGTCGAGTCAGTGCGTCGGTCCGAGCGTCGCGGTCCCAGCAAGCAGGGTACTCACTGTTGGAGCGGTTGTTGATGCTGCTCACGTCGCTGATGGACGACCTGGGCGTGGACGCCGCGCTGCGCTGGTCGGGGCTCATGACGGGCGTGGCGACGGACGAAGGCGCCTCCAAGCGGTGCCGCCGGCTGCAGCAACGACACAGGTTAGGTTCCAGCACTCCGCCAACTTGTGGTCAACTCGACTGCTTACAGTGGAGGCGGACAAAATTCTGGACGAGTTGAGCTTCAGAGTCGGGACTCGAACCGAACGTGTGACCCCACCACTGGATTCCTCGTTCGGAGAGCAATCCATTGGTGTGGTCACACGTTCGGTTCGAGTCCCATTTAGCGACTCTGGAGCTCGAAACGCCTCGTGAGTTTTGGCCGCCTCCACCGGTCTTCTGGCCCACTGTGCTGCGTTCGGCGACTTACCTCTTGGCCTTCCTGAGCTCACCGCTCCGCGGCGACGACGACGCCTTCCTGGTCATGGCCACGTTGGCCACCGTGAGGCTGTTGCTGCGCGAGCCCCTGGTGGACACGGCGGTCGGAGACACCCCCATGCTGGACAGCACCTTGCCCTTCACGTCCTTGAGGCGCGCCAGCTTGTTGGTCTGCTCCTCCGCGTTGGACGCGATCTTCTGCATCACGGCCTCCCACTTCTTGGGGGTGGTCCGGGTCGGCCGCTTGGGCGCCGTGTTCTCCTGGTCCTCGCCCTGGCGCGTCACCACCATCATGGCCTTCACCTTGGAGGTCACGTTGCGGTTCGGCATCTTGTACTTCTTGATCTCCCTGACGGCCTTGACCGGCTTGGCCGGCACGGCGGCAGGGGCGGCCTGCTGTTGCTGCTGCTGCAGAGACTTGACCGTCACCAGGGACGTCATGGAGCCTAGGTCGTCGGCGCCGACAGCGTGCTCGTCCGCGGCCGGTTCGGCGCGCTCCGCGGGCTCCAGGTTCGGCAGCATGCTCTTGAGCGTCTCCACCAGCTCCTGGTTGAGGCTGGCCAGCGTGCGGCCCTCCTTGAACTGCATCGTGGCCGAGGTGGCCGAGCCCTGCATGGAGGCGGCCATGGACGGCGCCAGCGACGAGCCGCCCTGCGTGCGCTCCAGGTCCGAGTAGATGCCGCTCGAGTCCATGTCCTCGCCGTGCGACGGCTGCGGCCGGTGGGTCGCGCCGGGAGCGCCCGCGCCGTACAGTGTGCCGTCGATCACCTGCGGGTAACCAACACAGTCAAACAAAAAACGACGGGAGCGCGGCGGGGACTCGAACCCGGGACTCACCTGCGCGTGCCGGTCGCCGCCGCGGCCCGCCACCCCGAGCCGGTCCTCCTGCATGTCGGCGTCCGACTCGGTGAAGAAGTCCGAGTCCGTCATGGGGTCCACGGCGGTGCCCTTGATCTTGATGCCGGCGTGGTGCGGCTGTGTGGGCGAGTGGCGGTCCTCGGCCTCGCCGCCGCGGCTGCCGGGCCGGCTCCACTCGCCGTCGCCCTGGTAGCCCGTGTCCAGGCTGGCGATGCTGGTCACGCTCGTGATGATGCTGTTGGGCGTCTTACCGCCGCGCGCCGACCGCGACGGCGTGGCCACGCCGGGGGTGGCGCCGCCCGGGCCGCCCGCCGCGCAGGGCTGCTGCTCCTGCTGCTGGTGGTCCAGGGGCAGCTCCTCCACGGACGGCGTGCGGTCCAGCCGCTTGCTCGTCAGGTCCTCGCTGATGTAGTCCGACGTGGACGCGCCGCCGTCCTTGCGCGACAACGCCAGGTAGTCCACGGCCGTCGCGTCCGGCGCGACGGTCGCGTTGGCGTTGTCCTGAGGGCCGTCGTCCAGGCCATGTTCCAGCATGGCGGCGTCGTCGTAGCCCAGCGTGCACCGCAGGGCGGAGTCAACCATCTCCACCACCTGGACAGAACACCAAAGGTCACATTTTGATAGACGCAGGCTCGGACTGGCCAGGGCAGACAGGCAGAAAAATCTGCCGGGGCCATCGGGTTTGGGGCCAGTAACGCCACAAAGTTGGTCAAAAAGTGATTGAATCTCCGAAAGTAGCCGTTTTTGCTGAATTTGGGCAGCCACTGCGGCCGATCTAGTTGCGGCCAACGGCGTCCCTGTATCGGGAAGACGTTGACCACAACAATTTTGGCTTTGACCGCAACGATTTTCCGACCAAGTTGGTCAAAAAGTGGTCGAATCTCGGAAATTTGCTGATTTTGCTGACTTTGGGTGGCCACTGTGTCCAATCTATTCGCTGTAAAAGACCTCCCTCAACGTCCTAGTATCCTTAAGACTCTACTCTTTTATGCCCTGTATCAGGAAGACGTTGACCACAACGACTTTGGCTTTGACCGCAACGATTTTCCGACCAAGTTGGTCAAAAAGTGGTCGAATCTCGGAAATTTGCTGATTTTGCTGACTTTGGGTGGCCACTGTGTCCAATCTAGCTGCCGTAAAAGGCCTCCCTTGACGTCCTAGTATTCTTAAGACCCTACTCTTTCATGCCCTGTATCGGGAAGACGTTGACCACAACGATTTTGGCTTTGACCGCAACGATTTTCCGACCAAGTTGGTCAAAAAGTGGTCGAATCTCGGAAATTTGCTGATTTTGCTGACTTTGGGTGGCCACTGTGTCCAATCTAGCTGCCGTAAAAGGCCTCCCTCGACGTCCTAGTATTCTTGAGACCCTACTCTTTCATGCCCTGTATCGGGAAGACGTTGACCACAACGATTTTGGCTTTGACCGCAACGATTTTCCGACCAAGTTGGTCAAAAAGCGGTCGAATCTCGGAAATTTGCTGATTTTGCTGACTTTGGGCGGCCACTGTGTCCAATCTAGTTGCCGTAAAAGGCTTCCCTCGACGCCCTAGTATTCTTAAGACCCTACTCTTTCATGCCCTGTATCGGGAAGGCTATTGACCGCAAATAGTTTGGGAGCGGTAGCCTCACAAAGTTGGTCATGAAGGGTAAAAGCATGATGATGATCGGGGGCCTTTTGCGGTCTTATCCGCTGGGGTCTTTTGGGGGCCAGTCCGAGCCTGATAGACGGACACCCTAGAATTGACCGCCTAGTCAGCAAAAAGGGCTACTTCCAGAGGTTCAATCCGCCCAAAATCCACCCAAAATCCCGAGTTGGCTACACCAAGGCCGGCGCTCACCTGGTGCACGTCCACGTCCATGTGCTCGTCGTCCACGTCCATGGCCTCGGCGGTGTCCGCGGCGTCGGCGGGCATGGCCGCGGCGGCCGCTTCCTCCTCCGGGCTGGAGCCGTCGCACACCGTGAAGCCGTCCGCCATCTGGTCGGGCGTCAGGATGCCGAGGCTCTCGTCCAGGTCGAACGAGTTCTGCTTCTCCATGAGGGGCAGGAAGTGCGGCGGCTGCTGCGGGGCGCCATGGGGCGGGCCGCCGTGGAAGGCCCCGCCGAAGGCCCCCGGGCTGTGGTCTTCGCCCGCCGCGGACGTCGGCGTCGAGGCCAAGCTCGACAGGACGTCCTGTATGCAAGCCAAATTCAGAGTCAAACGTCTCCGCGCGGAAACCATAACCAGGCAAAGTGTAAACAGTCCAAGGAGTGATAAGTGCCTGCTGGCCAGTCGGGCGCCTGCGAAGCGTGGGGTAGGCCGACCCGCAACGCAGCCGCGCGCAACGGGACTGCCTAGCCGCCGCGTCGCAGGCGGTCGCAGGCGCCTCCCTCCTCACCCTCACCTTGCCGAGGTCGAAGTGGCGGTGCGGCGGCGCTTCGTCCGCCTCCAGCATCCTGTGGTCCATCATGGCGTGGTCCAGGTGCAGGAAGCTGTGCGGGCCCGAGTCCACGTTGTCCAGCGCGGCCTGGTCGAGCGCGGTGGGGGTCTTGTCCGCCTTGTCGGCCACGAGGCGCACCAGGTGCAGCGGCGCGAGCAGCCCGTGCAGCGGCCGGCACCGGAAGTAGCACACGCCGCGCACCGTGCCGTCGTGCTTGCCGTCGGGGCCGTCCAGCTCCACGCCGCAGAAGTCGCCCGGCGCCAGCGCGATGGGCCCGAAGTACCTCAGCGTGCCCGTGCGCTCGCCCGCGATCTGCAGGGACAAGTGCAAAGCAACGCCGTCAGCCTCTCTCTGCCTCCCTTGCACCCACACAGAAAATGGTACCGGCTATGCCATTTTTCCCCGGATGCGTCCGCCATCGCATAGTGGTCCAGAGTCACTAAATAGGACTCAAACCGAACGTGTGACCCCACCAATGGATTGCTCTCCGAACGAGGAATCCATTGGTGGGGTCACACGCTCGGTTCGGGTCCCATTTAGCGACTCTGGAGCTCAAAACGCGTCTAGAGTTTTGCGTGCCTCCCCTCCGCCGGTCGTCTGGCCCACTGTGCAACGTCATTCTTTCACCACTGCAGCTGCAAGCGAGCGGCAACAGCGGGCGCAACTCTCGCCCGGCGGCCTGGAATGGCCTGGCATTGCCTCTGGAATCGTCCAAAATCCTCGCGAGCAGCGCTGAGTACGCTGGCCTGCACAGGCCTAGTTCAGTGGCCGCCCTGCAGACTCACTCCCGTCGCTCCGTCTCTCTCGCACTCGCGGGGCGCCGCGCCGGGGGGCGAGAGAGACAGAGCGACGACGCGGTGCCGGCTTCGGTTCCGCGCAGATCGGATCGGGAACTGAAATAGCAACATTCTCGTATAGAAAGGCAACGAATGCCCATCGCTTCCCGGCACACGGCCGGGCCGGGCTGCCGGGTCGAGCCTGCACGCTCTGATAGGCCCATCAACGCGGGCCGCGGGATGCACCAGGTTAGGTTAGGTTAGGTTAGGTTAGGTGGGGGAGTCGATTTGTCTGCGGGGAACACACACACACACGCACACACACACACAGAGCAAGCACCCCGCGCACCTGCACTCGGCAGCCGACGTGGCGCGCCTGGATGCTGTCCGGGTTCCAGTCGAAGCAGGCCTGTCTGGCGGGGTGCCCGGCGGCGGCGCCGGCGTCCCCCGTCGACGGCGGCGGCCTCTCCCCCACCGGCGAGGACTCCCTGGTGGTCGAGTCGATGACGGGCCTCGGCGCGGCGTGCGCGGCGAGCGCGGACTCGGACGCCACGGCCACCATGGGCTTGGGGAAGCTGGTGGGCCGCGTCGCTCTTGAGGGTCGCGTCACCGGCTCTGAAAAAGAGAAAAAACGCAGTCATGAGCAAAGGCCAACAAATCCCTTTCTCCCGAAAAGCACCCGGCGGGGTGTCGAACCCGCGACTCACCCGACGCCATGGCCCTGGTGCTGGAGGCGCTGGCCGACTTGGAGAGCCTGTTCATGCGGCCCTGCACCAGCCCCTGCCGCAGCGCGGGCATGCCGCTGGTGCTCCGCGAAGCGCCATGCTCCGGCGTCGCGGCCCCGGACGACTCGGGGGTCGCCCCGCGCCGCGGCGACGCCAGCCGCCTGGGCACCGTCGGGGACCCCGGCGCCGAGCCCCGCAGCGAGGACGCCGTCGAGGCCGTGGGCGAGCCCGGCACCGAGCCTCGGGGGATGCGGGTCGCCGACGACGACTGCTGCGGCCGCCTGGGGGCGAACAGCATCGGGATGCGGCTCTCGCCCGGAGTCTGCAACCGAAGAACAACCATCCTCAGTCATCAAAATTTTGAAAGAAAACACTGCGGTTTTGTTATTCGGTTCGCTTTCATTGAAAATTCACGCCCTCGTCCAGCCTGTCGCACTGTGTCACGCACGCACGCTCACACGGCGCAAGCGCAGGCCGAGAACAATGCTATTGCCATTCATTATCGACGTTTGGCCCTCACCACCGAACGAGTCCACCTGGCTGCACATTGTATGTTAAGCCGGCAGCTAACTTGCGACCCAAGCTTTTTCAAGTCAAGCCCCCGGACCATCATCACCACCGTTTTGGATTTTTAAATTATTCGAGGCAAACTTTATTTCTACTACCGCTAGAGTAACTCCAATAATTTTTTTTTAAAGTGTAGGACAGTATTTTGGCGCGTGCGTTCAAAGTGGCGCGGCCCACGCACCCAAAACAGCAACCGGCGTGGCGGCGGTATTAATACTTGCAAACCACCGACCCTCTGTCCCCGGCCAACACTCCACGCCTCAAAGCTCAACGCGCCTCAAAGCGCGCCGTCTAGACCGACATCTTGGTCGACACCGCAGACCAGGAAAACGAGGGGGGGGAGGAGGAACGGGGGCGCGAAAACAGCGAGCTTGTTTTGTTTCTGCGGACCCCCCCCCCCCCCTCCCCCGGCTGCACCGGCCAGCGGTACAACAACAGAGGGCCGGCCGTAGCGGGGGCGGGGGAGGGGGGCGAGGATCTGACCACGACTAGTCTATTTTGAGCCCGTTAGCAAATCCCAGTCGCCGCGGGTCCTGCACGTTTCGGGATGAGGGGGAAGGGGGGAGGGGAGTTTAGTGACCAGCGGTCAGGTGGTGGCGCCTATGGCTGTTCCACATTGGGGACCGAGGGGGAGGGAGGGGGGGGGGCAACAGCTGAGGCCGCGACGCGGCGGAGACGCCCCGGTCCCTTCCACGACGTCCACGACGTCGTCCTCCCCGGCGGCGACAGCAGCGCGATGCACACACGCAGCCCCGCCGGATGTTGGGGAAGGACGGCCCCGCCGTTGGGGCTTCCCTCCCTGCCACCCTCGTCCACAAACCACGTCACACTCCAAAGTGAAGCCACGTGCTCGCCGCCTGGCGCCAGTGGCGGCCGCCCCGAACGCAGACGCACCGAACCGCCACCACCGATTAAAGCCCGCCTTCTTTTCCTGGCCGTACTTCGGGTTTGTTTTACGAGGAAATTACAGTCTTTCTCCGCGGCCCGGCCGTGGGATTACCTTTCTATTTCGAGCAATCGTCGACGACGAGGTTTCAATTAGGGGTCCATCCTGCTGCCGTGTGTCTCCCCCCCCCCTTCTTTTTCCTTCGCTCCGCGGCCAAACACAACCTCAAAAGATAAAGGCAGGGGCACTGTAGTTGACTTAGGCACACGGCTTGCCCGTCTGTCTGTCTGTCCAAAATCCCCAAACAAACCCCACGAGTAACGCACACGTCCAAACGGCCTGCGCAGGTGCCGACCGACGCAGCAGACTGTGACCTTTCCCCCTCTTCCCCGCGGTTCAACGGGATCAAAAAGAAATTACTAAATTAAAACGCCAGCTCCGGGCGTCATGCATATGCTTCGCGGAAAAAGAGAGTCCGGACCAGAAAGGAAGGAAGGAAGAAGGAGAGAGAGAAAAAAATAAACAAACCGAAAACAATCATCATCAAGAAAACATGCCACTGCAATTGCGGCACGCCATTTTGCGCGTATCTGCCGACGGGATCGCGACCGTTGTGTACGAACGCGTGCTCAACAAGCTGAGCCTCCGACAATGCCATAAACATGAAATTTCGGTCAACATTTCAGGCAGAGAGGTCCCTGTCGAAACTCGACAGGGGCAGGAAGAAGAGCGGGGAAGTCCGAACATCACAGCGCCACAGACAGAGACAGACATAATCACGGGATGCTCCATGTGTGTGCCGCGCGGGCGGCGCGCCGTCTGGACCGTTTCGATCTCTCGCACAGATGCCGCGCACTTGCCTTTGCGCCGCCGAACAGCGTCGCTCTGTCTCTCTCGCACTCGCGGGGCGTGGCGGGACGTCTCGGGGCGTCTAGAGGAGTGCGAGAGAGACGGAGCCTTGCCGGCTCCGCCCCCGCAGACCATCTCTCCAGATTGCCCCCGATGGCGTGGCGAGGCGCCGCGTAAATTTAAATCGGTCTCTGCCGAGCCGAGCCGAGCAGGCATCATGCCTGGCGGCCTGCCGGCGCGCTTCCCATGCAAGCGTGACCCACGCCAACAACAAAAACCCCAATCTCTTTCGTGCTCTTTTGCCAGTTTTTCTTTGGCGCCGTGGGATTGGCAGGCTGGGCAGTGCAGCGGTGAGCCGCGCGAAACAACACACACGGTGTGCCCTCCGCGATGCGACGACGCGACGCCGCGACGCGCGAGCCACGGCCCCTGTGGCGCCCGCCGGCCTTGAGATGCCGCGCGCAAACCGACACGTAAAGACGAGGCATCACGTGGTCAAGATTTCGCACGCAGCTGCACCACACACACACAAGCACACAGACAGGCACACACGGACACACACACGTGCACGCGGCGCGCGCAAGGACGGGGATACGAACGGAGCGCGGCAGACGAAACGGAACGGTTATTATACGACGTCCGCTTCCGCCAGGCAGTCAATGTTAAGGGCAAAGGATGCTCTACACGGGGAATGAATGAATGAATGAATGAATGAATGAATGAATGAATGAATGAATGAATGAATGAATGAATGAATGAATGAATGAATGAATGAATGAATGAATTTGTACAAGAATTTATCAGAAACTAAAATAAACACGGGAAAATATGAAAAATTTAAATAAATAGAACTGCTGGCAGGTTGTCGTTGAAACCTGTTTCCAGGCCTCGGGCAACCTTTGGAGGTCCTTGTCCGGGCTACCCTTTGCTGCCCCCGCGCTGGCCCCGCACGGCGCCCGACTCGGGTGACGGAAGCACTGACCTTCACGGCACGCCGCGCCGCGCCACGCCATCGCAGCCCTTACCGTGCCCTACATTTAATGGACTTGCGGAACACAATGCGGGAGGGGGAAGGCCCGCGTCCTCCACGACGACCACGGCGACGACGACATGCACATCAGTGGGCAGCCAAGAGCATCGCGCGCGCAATGTGTACCCTGTCTTTCGATTCGACAGACCCACACCAACGGACGGACGGACGGACGGACGGACAGACAGGCGCCATCAAGCAGACGGCGCGTCAATGCAGTGCGGCCGTCAGCGCGACGTTAGCACCTAATTCCCAGACACCAGTCGCGTACTACTGACACCGAAAGTGTGTGCACCGACAACAACAACAATGCGGGGAGCGGCCGAAGACACACACCAAAGCCCGACAGCAGCAGCAACAGCAACAAATGTAAACTAGCTTTACAAAGTAAACCAGCGGCACTGGCCTCTGTTACCGTGCACTGCAATTTTCAGCCCGACAAACTCAAACCCAAAACAACAACAATAATGCAGAGGGTTCCCGGCCGGCCAGGCCAGCAAAACTAGAGCCAACAACAACAACAAGGCATCTGTACAGGAAGTCCGACGTGCCGAGTTAGGCCCTTTTGCCGGCTGCATTAGAGGCGCGCCACTCTGGTGCGTGTCTAATTATGTGGCGAAGGGCGGAGCTGGCGGAGCCCCGTCTCGCTCGCACTCGCGGGAGAGGGCAGGGGCCGGCAGGGGCCGCGAGAGAGACAGAGCGAGGGAAGGAGGGGGCTTGACCCTTATAACAGCCGCGGCCCGAATTGCGCTCCAAGAGTGCAGAGAGGCGTCAAGTGCTGCGTGCGCCGTCCACCGTCCGCGCGTGTCCCGTCCGTCCGTCCAGGCCCGTCTCTCTCGCCCCGCCGCCCCGCCCCGTGCAGAGCGAGAGAGACAGAGCGGCGGGGCTCGGAAGCGGCCCGCGGTGCACGGGATGGCACAGGATGGACCCGTTGGACATGGCTGGACGCGACAGCGACAGCGCCACGCTCGAGCGGCCACGCCGCGCCACACAGTGGGCCAGAAGCCCGGTGGAGGCGGCCAAAACCCTAGACGAGTTTTGAGCTCCAGAGTCGCTAAATAGGGCTCGAAACGAACGTGTGACCTCACTAATGGATTCCTCGTTCGGAGAGCAATCCATTGGTGGGGTCACACGTCCGATTCGAGTCCCATATAGCGACTCTGGAGCTCAAAACGCGTCTGGAGTTTTTCCCGCCTCCACCGGTCTTCTGGCCCACTAGACGCCACGCTCCGCCACGCTCATAGGTGACTCATCAGACACTTCCGGATTGCCCTTCATTTTTCGAAACAGCAAGTTTACCGCTCTCTCTCTCTTTATTATTAATTGTCACGCTGCTGAATTTTTCACTAATTTTGCCGTCGTTTCCTCGCGTCCACTGCGGCGCCCTTTGAGCGCTCCCCGACAAGTCCAATTACAAGCCGCACCTTGGCAGTCGCGCCACTGCGCGCGTCAAAAAGGTAAAAAAATAAAAATAATAATAAAAACTGCCATTATTGGGCTTTCCCAGCTTTTTTTTTATCAAAGGCGCGAACGTGCGGCGAGTCAAAGCGACGCGCAGACCGACCGCTTCGTCGCGCCGTCTCTCTCGCACCCTGCCGGCCACACTGCGAGTGCGAGAGAGACGGCGCGACGACAGGTCATTGGCTGCCTCGGCTGCCGGTCATCACGGTGCCTGAGGTGCGTGAAGTGCGGTCCGACCTTGATGGGCTTCTATCTCTCTCCCTCTTTCTTTTGCCGTCGAATCTCAGCCGACGGATAGAAGTCCCTGGAGGA